TTACCCTTCCCCAGCGAGCAGCCTGACAGCTAACCCACCTTCCTCCTTCCAGCACACACAGACGCACACACAGAGCCTTATATATGCACACAGCCATACATGTCAAATTGCAGCCCCTGCAATCTCAGCTCACCCTTCCTTCAAACTGCTTATCTCCCAGAGTGAGGAGGAAGAGAGTATAAAAAATGAATGGGTGCCATATGGAAGTGGTACGTTGTATGCGAAGAGGGAAAACTATTGGGGTGGAAAATCAATTTTGCCAAGTCGCAAACATATAGCTTTCTGCTGGGTAAAGTAGCCGACATAATCCTGTCTTCTCATGCAAGGCTGTGTGTGGAGGAAGAGAAGAGGGATGGAAGAACAAAGGGATGAAAAGATAATCGAATTTGCAAATGGAAAGTGTTAAGAAGCTGGAATTTAGGAGGGAGAGGATGTTTAGGGACCACAATAGAAGGAGTGGGAGAAAATAAGAACTCTCTTGTAAAAACCATGTTTCTACAGGCTTGGAGGAACATGTACATGTAACAGAAGACCTGTAGCAGTTGCTCTAACTGACACTGAGCCTGCAGGAATGATTTGCATTCCATATGGCCTGCTGGGTCTCCCTCCTCTATATCCACTTCTAGTTTACCACACCAGAAATCTGCATAAATCCCCCAAAACCACCCCTAAAGATTTTAAGATCCATGCAGTTGAAATAAGTCCACTGACCTTCATTACCTGATAACTCCAGGCAATAAGCTTGCTTTAGTGAGACCATACTGAGTAGGACAGTATCAGTATGAGCCAGAGAGTCAGAATATGGGCTGAGGTCAGAGTCACTGGGGTACAATTATCTATTATGAGGAGGGTTCAGTGTGCTCTATCTTCAGATTGCAGAGGTTCTGAGAGATGAAGAACACGTCTTAGCTAGCGAGCATTCAGATGTAGAACTAAGCTGAGTAAAATGTTTAGGTATATTTTGTCTGCACTATAGACAGACGGAAATTGACAGACGGAAATATTGTTTTAATCTTCAATTCAATTTAGAGCCTTTGGTTGGATATTTTTTAGAACTTTTTGATCTCTTTTTACACTTAAACTCAACAAGTGATGGCCTCCAAAGAATACCATCCACTCATTACATTCCATGATGGTAATGTTTAAATGTATGATTTAGTAGGGAAAAAATCCACCAGAGAAAGTCCACATCTACAAACAGAGAACAAAGAAGGCCAATGCTCTGGTATTTGGAGTGGGATACGAATAGATTCTGGGAGTCAAACAGAAAAATCTCGCTGTTTGGCTAACTACCAAAATAAATATTTTCTCGCTTCATGCATCGCTGCTTCCAATCCATCTATAGAACTGCATCACTGTAGATCATGAATTCAAAACTGCATTGTTTGCATTTTATCAGTTTAAGACGCAGATATTTACCTGCTTAAGTTTTTCAGTTCATATTGTGCATTGTTCTTACCATGAAAAACATAAATAGGGATTTATGCAGGTGTAAGAGGAGTGCAGTTAAAGCCTTCCAGCGAATACCTTTAAACATGTTATTCATCTTTTTGCTGCTTGCAGATTAGAGTACTGAAACTCTGTGCTCTTTGGTTTGCAACAGTTCTCTGTTCTTCCTCTCAATTTGGTCCCAAATACCAATAGGTGCAGTTTTGGCTCCTCTTCAGAGAGCTGATGTTAGAGGATGCATGTCAAATGTGTACTTTTTGCTTTTAAATCGCAAAAATGTCAAACTCCTAACTATTGGAACTATCGAACTATACGTTTTTTGGTAAAAGGTTAAATAGGAAGGTGGCTGATCTTTTTCTACAGCGGGTTCCAGACAGGCTGGGATAGTCTGGGTCTAAATAGATCTGCAAAAAACTGGGACATTTTACATCTTGACTGAAGAAATGTTTTCATCAAGTTGGTTTTCTCTCAAGTTAACCAAAACGTTTTCATTTTTATTGCCTTAATATTTGTCTTTGTGTAAGTGCTTCCAATGTATTCAAGTATTTAATGTTTTTTGTTTCTATTGTATCAATCTTATGCATTTCCCTTTCTTTATCTTTTTTGTTGCATACTAGTTTGTAAAGCACTTTCTGCATCTCAAGTTGGTAAAATGTACCACATAAATAAACCTGACCTTGATGTTGACAAATTATTCATTTAATGGATTTTATTAAAGAAGAAGAAGGAAAAGTTTAACATTTGTCAGTTTTTAAAACCATCACACAAAGTGTATTTTGTTTTTGCAATGACAACACCTGCCAAGGTCGTGATCTTTATCATGACAGACTGAACTGTACTGGCTTTAGAAGGTTTTCTGCTCTTTCTCTGAATCAGGTGTTTGTACTGTATATTATCAAGAAAAAAAAGGTTAATAGAAATAACCTTGTTTTTTTATGCAATTTTCTTTTAAAGTAACAAAAAAAGCTTTTTTATTAAATCAAGAACAACTCAGTCTTCACAATATTTCACTAAATGTTTTGGTTGTCCTGATTCAGAGGATGAATAGATGTCTAAATATAAAGTGACTTTTCAATAAATTTATGCTATATATTCCACATCATGGTAAAAATATAAAGTTGAAAGTTTTCCATTGAACAACTTTTCCTCTTGCTGTCTACAGTATAAAGCACGTCACAGTATATGTCCTCTTTTTTCTGTATCTCATTAACTTTATGGCATTTTACATTTCTGTCTTTAATATTAAATAAAGCAGAAGCCTCTCGATATAACTGAGCCTCTGCATCACACCAACTGTTCACGTTATACTGAGCTTCAGGGAAGAAACCTCAACACTTACTGCCATTTTTAAGGTGGAGCTTAATTGTGGATTGTCAAAATCCACAATGATGCATAATATTTCTAATCATATCCTGCTTTAAAACTAATTAGTATTTGAATGGAATAACAAAGGGGATTGAGTCTGGTGATATTTCTTATGAGTTGGGAAAAAAAATCAACTAATATTTCAAAGCAGATGAATACTCAGTTGTTACAAAAAGAACATATCACCACATAGCCGAGGACACTTAAATGTAGAGAAACATTTCCTTGATGTTTCCGCTTTTTTTCTTTGTGAAATCTTACTTAGTCTAAATACTTAGTCTTTGTTTGTATTTTATGAAAGGTTAATGAGACAATTTACAACAGACTTAGATTTATTTTGTCATTTTGTATACACAAGTGTAGACAAAAAGAAATTTCATAGACAAAAAGAAACTTTGTGTTTCAATAGTTTGCATTAATTAATAGAACTGAACAGGAACATGTAGAGTTATTATAAGATCAACCTTAACACACCCTCTCCACAACCCACTGTATACAAATATTAAACTCACAGATGGGTGTGTGTTGGGCGTATAGTAAATATATAAAGGACACCTGGGAGATTCCTGCAGCATAATCATTAATACAGCACCGTCTGCTCTATGGTTGAGCTGAAGGAGCCGCCACTGTAACATAGAGCTATTAGTGTTAGTGAGGGGTTAGCAATTAGCTAATGTTAGCTTATGTATATAATAACTGCCGTTTTAATGCAGAGCTGATGGCTGATGTTACAGGACACTGGCTTTTGAAGCAGGTGTGAAAATGAAGATTGTTCTAAATAAAACTTATGAAGAGTGAAACTATTTGCTTCTAAAACAAGAAGAAATTAATTCATCTCTGAATACAGTTTATCTACCTAGAATATAGTGTATTGGATTCAGGTACAAAACACACAACTCTTTTTTATTTTATTTTAATACAATTTTTTTATGTTGAATAATGGTATCCTTGTTCTATAAAAAGAGAACAGATGGAGCCAGTATTCAAGGTGAGACAGCCACTAGGAAAGTTCAAAATGTTTATCAAAATAAAAACATAAACAGACGGAACAGAAGCGAAACTGCTGAGGATCTGCGGTTTGCGGCGACTGCAGGAGGGGGGCGGGGCACCGCCCAATCACAGACACTCTGGTTGTGGGAGAAACCAAGGTAAGTGACCATCATCATCTGACAGGAGTTGATTAACAGAGTGAGTCACTCTGTCAGTTGCAGATGGGCAGGCTCAGTGGTTGAAGGTAACAGAGACGACACTGGAAACACTTGAAACTGGATGAGCAGAACTTTAAAATGGTCTCCTTTTTGGAGCCAAAACTGATCCTCCCCACGTACAGAGCCAAAACCCTGTGGACTCCACTGGGAAGGATCAGGAGACGAGATAGACACCAAACCCTCTCTTTCCACTGGCAGCTAGAGGCCTGCGTGAGAAGATTTTCCAGTCCTGCGCCCGCCCACTCCCGTAGTGTTCCGCTCCCGCAAACAATTATGATTTTCAGTCCCGCTCCCACCCACACCTGTAATAGTTTGTCCCGCTACCGCCCACAATTCGCCACATGATTCCAACGTTCGCCTACTGCTCAAGGCAATTCGTGTTATTAGTTTGAGGAATTAAATGCACTGTGCTTATCTGAGCACATTACTGTCCGATTCTTCACTGCATAGTGGATGATGCGCGTTATGTGGCACAAGCTGCAATATCCAGCGCATTGTGATGTATATATATATATATATATATGATAGGCATAGACTGATAACTTATGACTTTATTTTACATTTTATTTTACGTTTTAAAACACGTTTTTAGTTCACGGGACTGCCGCTTATCACCACTCCCGCCCGCACCCGCAATGAGCTTTCAATATTTGTCCCACACTGCACTGCTTTGCGTTGGGTCATGCGAGTCCCGCGGGACTCGGGAGTGCAGGGCTCTACTGGCCGCCAGGAACCAGGATGGAACCAAGGAATAAGTTGACAGATTAAAAGAAAAACAAATAATGATCTGGCCCCAAGTACTCAGGCTGAACTGAATATAAAGCCGAGGAAACAGCTGAATGAAATAAATGATAATTATAGCAGGGAGGGACCGGCAGGTTAATGAAATAAACAATTAAGGTGGAGGAATCAGGCCAGATCATGACACCTTCAAGTAATAAAAAAAAACAAAAAAGCAACTAAAGGTGCATTCCTTACCTTGCCAATGATCCTGGGGAATGGAGGTCTCTGGTTCTCAGTCACACTCATGGGAGGGACAAGGAGGGACCTCTTCGTCCTGTATGGTAACTTCTGGCCAAGGCCCAGGGCATTCTACAACACACAGATGTAGCTTTGTCAACTTAATAATCAAACCCCTTTTAAATGAGCATAATTTAGTGCGCAACCTAGTCTTTACACCAACAAAAACTATTTCAACAGAAACAAATTAGCTTTTTAATCACACCCACTTTGAAATCACATTAAACTTGCTCTAATAAAAGCAGAGATGTTAATCGTTAATAACAGATGACACCATAAAGGAAGCCTTTTTTTTCTGCCATGATTCTCAAAACATGAAATAAGATCGAGGGTAAAATAAAGCAATGAGAGATGACAAGGTTTTAGGAAAGCAATTGCATTTTTAAAGCAGATGGAGACATTCTGAAATGTTGTTTTGATCTTGGAAAACACTAAAACATAATCTTGGTTCATTTTCCACCCTCCTGCTGCTGTAAACAAAGAAGGGGTTTTAGAGTCTAATACAGTACAGTGAAAATGTTCAGCTCTCTGCTACACCCAGAGCCATCAAGACAGAGGAGCCGGGATATTGATGAAAACAGTGCCCAACACGACACCGTGAAAACGCTGTGTTGATTTGGTGACCCGCAGCGAGGAGAGGCTGGCATGGTTTTTGTCTGCACACCTTGACAGGAGCCCAAAATGACAAACCAGAAATACACCGTTAAATTTTCCATACAGGTGTGTCATGGATCAAACAATTTTGAGGTGAAAAAAGTCTTCAGATCTTAAACACAGTAGCACACACAGGGAGATACTTAAAGTCAATAATTTCCAGTCACCTACCATTCCGATGCCATTCAACTACCATTCATTTACAATTTCATAGGTGTCCTTGACTTAACAACCTCTCTTTCTTTTCAACTACACGCAGTCTTGCAATTATCAGAAATCAAATAACCTTGCACCTGCATTTACTTACCAAAACATGCAACTAGAGTCACTCTGCACCGTTCAAACTTTGTTACAATACCGTGTTTGTAGTATAATAGTGTCATGGTTTTGGTTTTGTTCAAGTTTTATTTTGAGTTTTCATTGGTGTTATTTTGATTATTGTGTTCTATGTATTTTTGATTGTATTTTATTTCTTGGATATTTCCTGTTTGCCCTCTTGTGTCAGTCTCATTTTCCTTAGTTCCCTTCTTCCCTCTGTTCACACCTGCTCCCAATCTGCTAATTAGCCTGGTCTTTGTCTCTCCCATTTATTCTCCTCCTGTTCAGTCACTCTTTGCTGGTTTGTCATCATTGCATTGTCCCCTTCTTGTTGTCAGTATTCTTGGTTTTGAGCATTTTTGTAGATTTATGTTTGGGATTTTTGCTTTTGTTGAACTTTTAGTTACATAAAACCTTCAAGTAACAACCTTGAGTTTTTGTTTATGCATTTGGGTCCTGTCAAATAGTGACATCAGATATCAAAGTGGATGCTTCCCCTTTTGTAATTTTTTGATGCACAGGGTGCATGACAGGAAGTTGGAGGAACCTCTGAAAATTTCCCAGAAACTGCAAAGTTAAAAAGTAGCACTAACTCATCCCTAAACCTAATCCCTAAACCTAAAGAAACACTAGTAAACAGGTAACCATAGACTCATAAAGCTACCAACAATAATTTTGTAGGCTAAAATGTAAAAAAATAAATAAATAAAACATTGTCCCCTGTCTCATGCATGCCACCTTATACAATGTCTGCAACCTGTCATTTACACTGGGGGCCAATCTATGAGGAGAGGGGTTCTCATCTTGATACTGACCAAGCGTCAGTATTTCATGAGTTGGGAATATTTCTTCCTTAAATTTGCTTTAATGAAGACATCAGATCATAAGTTTTTTCACGCTCAATTAGAGACGTGCTAGCATTTTCATACGAAGATAGCCTGCTAAACATTGATTTTGTTGGGAGTCATATCATTAACTGCACATGTTTAATAGCCAATGGATGTTTTAGTTGGTTACGGTTACACATGTGATTTAACTGTATGTTAATTTAAAAAATTGCTATATTAATTATTACTTACTTTGAAGGTTTCCCAAAGGCCACGTTGTTTTCTGTTCTAACATGATTATTTGGCATTTCTAATTGGTTGCTGTTAGTGATGATGGTGTAGGATGCATGAGTTCTTCCAGCAACTGGAAGGTCACTGATCTCAACCCCAGCTCTGTCTGTCTTAGTCATCTTGTCTTTGGAGAAGTGAGTTCATCCATGATACCAACTAATGGTGGCCAGGGCACCTAGTGGCACCTGTGTACAACAGCCTTGGTTTTGATAGTGCCATCATCAGTTTTTATACTGGACACAGAGCAATTAAGCAATATTAGGATTACAAAAATGTTTAGCACACATTTGAAATGAAACACCTCTACTTACAGGGGCTCTGACATTTTTGCAAAAACAGGGACATAGAAAGTCAAAGAGGAGCCTCCTAATCTTCTCACTGACCAACATCTTTAGCAGCGAATTCAAGAGAAAAACCATCATGAAACTGTAATCACAAATCCAAGCGAACCAGAACCATCCAGAGACACGGAGTAGCTTCTGAAATGCCCTTTTTTATCAAATCCACTCAAGGGTGACCTTTGAAATGTCAAAGGCAGAAAGCTGCTACAACATGTTAAAAAAAAACATGAAAGATTGAATGACTATTTTCATATTTAAAGATCTGAGCCCACACAGTGGGTAAATATATGTGACCCGTTCATCAGCAGCTTTATGTACATCCAAGGCATGAGTACATTGATTTAATCGTGTTGAGGTCTCGGCTGGGTGATATTTGAAAAGAAGGTAGGAGACTCAGAAGGCAAACAGGGAACCACATGGTGAATGTAAACCCTGGTAAGAGGAGATAATTCATGGCCTCCATGTCTTCAATGAGCTGATATAGTTGATATGAAGAAGGAGTTTAAAAGCCTATCAATGTTCTGCAGCAGGATCAGGACAGTGATAAGTACTGACAATAGCAGAAAAAAAAGCTTATTTTTCATCTGCTCAATGGGGAGTTCTCACCATGGGGCACCGTGATAAAAAATGACTTGCAGCTCTACTTTCTTTCTTCTCACCTTTATACCTGCCGTTCTGCAGCTCATTCAGTTGTTTCTCTAGGTCACCAATATCTTTTCTTACCATATTCTCTTTTAACGCTGCATTTGTATGATGAATAGTGTTCTTACAGTATGGTGACACTGTAGGAGAAGGGCACCATGAATCTTTAATGTGTACTTTTCATAAATTACTGCTGCACCATCAACTATTACCCAGCCTTAAAGCATTTGCTTCTCACTCTGTCTTTGTCTTTTGCCAGGTGATTGTTAGAGGAGTTCATTGCTCTGAAGTGTTAGAGTCATGACAAAAAAAAGAAAAACATACAATAGAAATGCCCTTTGTTGTGCCACAGTGGGGATATTCAGGGAAATCTGATCAGCATTGGACAAAAGGAAAGCTGACATACAGTATCCCATATCCCTACTTGGAGGTGCAATTCTGTGCTTCCTACAGACTAAAGAGGAAACAGGGAACCTTTGTCACTGTCATCTGAGCCAAAAGTTCCTGTGGCAGCAAAGTCATGTCCTTGTCCGTTCTGCCATTTTTACCCACACCTCTATATTGAGACATGTCATTATTCATATCTGACAATGTGCAGCAGAGTCAGTGAGAAATGGCCACATTGAGGCCAGTGTTGGCCAGTGGTGGCAGGAACGTCTGGCTATTCAACATAAAATGTATTTATACATTACACAATCAGGTGAGGCAGTCTATTGGCGATCTTCGTGGGTATAAACATTTTTTTAGATAGTCCTTCACTCTGAGATGCCTACATAAAATAAATTCCAACCAAGTACTTTCAGAAGCCTGAAAGCCAGATGCTAGAGTCCACTAGAATATGATGATCAGAGTCTACCTGCAGGATTTGTGGTTCTGGCCGAAGATGGAACATTACAGGCCAACCGACATCATGAAGAATGAGGAACCCAACAGACAGGTAAAGAAGGAAGTTCTGGTTTAGTTTAAAGCTGAGTTAGATTCTACTGTACAACAATCCCCCAAGCTTTGGACATCTCCCAGAGCTCTGATCAATCTATCAACTAACCATGGAGAGATAAAGCGGGAACTGCAGACCTATCAACCTAGACTGATAGGCTGGAGGGAGAGACCATTAATCGGCATTAAAGGGGACTGTGACATCGGAGGAGCTGGGGAGAGATACAGCTCAGGTTACCTTAATCTAAATTTGTTCATCATTCAGCGTTTTATTCTTTCATGTACCAAATGTCCCAGTGGGAAATTAATTAAACTGTAAGGCAAACTTGACCACAAGATTGAAGTCTTAATGTTTATTTATCTGTTTTGTTATGTACGGCTGACCTGGAAAACCACTCCATGGGATTAACCCTGCTGTTTTCTTCCTCTTTTGCTGCTGTTAGAATCTTCTTTCATCTGCAGCTAGAGCATAACCTAAAAAAGAGGCTTTTAGCGAGATCCAAGAGACCTTAGCAAAATTTTCATAATCCAATTTTAGCTTCTCTGCCATAGCCATCTCCTAAGTTTATTTTTTATTTTTTTCAAAAAGTTTTATGCAATGACCCACTTTTATTCCTGACCTTCAAGACTGCCTTGAAACATTTAGAGGCGGAACAATTATTTTGAAGGTTTATTTGAATCAGATAATACAGTAAAAAGACAGGTTTTATACTTACAACAATATTTGCTACATTTTGTACCTAGACACAAATGGAAAACAAAGACAGAGCAAACCTTTTAGAAAAATACTCTGATGGTGTTATGGTTTTCCCCTTTTAAATTTATTATTTTCTTTTTTAGTTTTCAGTTATTTAATTTGCTCTGTTTTCTTGGTCATTGGTTTCTTTTCCATTTTGTGTTATTCTAATTGTTATATTTAAGCAGTGTTGTGTTTTTTTTTGTGTTGCTCTCTGTTGCCCCCTTGTGCCAGTCTCTTTTCCCTTATCTTCTAGTTGCTTGTATCCACACCTGCTCCCTGTTAGCTGATTACCCCAGTCTTTGTTCTCTCTCCCATATATACACC